TCTTTCACGTGATTCAGTTTATTTTGTCTCAACAGGATCTTGAGCTTTATTGTGAAAGGTTTATGTGGAACATAAACAAGCGGACACGCGATGCTGTTACCGTCGTTGTTGCTAACAACAACAACACATAAAATTCTATTTTATTCTACTGTATATAGTATTTTATTTTATTCTATTCTGTACAGTTGTGTACTGTATTTATTCTTATTGTATTCTAATTTTTGCTTCATAACTTTTGCACTGTCCACTTCCTGCTGTGACAAAACAAATTTCCCACGTGTGGGACTAATAAAGGTTATCTTATCTTATCTTAAAAACAGGCGCTTGTCTGTCTGTAGTGTGGTTATATTAAATATAAGAGAAAGAGAACTTTAAGAAATTAATATAGCCACTGAAAAAATATCGCCGTAAACAGTTTATTTTGCGACACCACGAAACAAACGATAGCGTAAAATGAAACGATGTTTTTATATCGTCATCCAATATATATGGTTATATCGAACAGCCCTAGAATTAAATGTAATTTTAAGACAGTGAAACTAAGAGAATCGTCTTTACAGGAATTGTTAAGTGCTGTTCTGTCCAACGGATTTTTGATACACACTCACTGATTTCTACTTCAGCCAAAAACAGTAAAGAGTAAACAGTTTAACAGTAAATATGAACTTTTGGCCTATCTGATCAGACACACTTGACAAAGGCCTGGCAGCCTGGCTTGACACACTTCTTCTAATCTACTCTCAAATCCCTCTCCACTGTATTCACTCTGATAGTTAAGCCCCTTGCTAATGAGACTGTGCCACACTGTATGGAATTAAAGTAGAACTCTACTCCATGCCTAAGTTACATCACAGACAAGGACCAGCTCTACATGGGCATTAGTAGTCTGGGGACACGGCTGTTGTCCAGTACAAAGAAGCACATGCAATGCCTGATCGAGTGAAGGCACCAACAATGTTTTGTTATGAAACTGTAATTAATTCATGAAAGATACGTAACCACCCATGCCAGCCTGAATCTTTGATTATATGAATAACAGAAAGCAAGGAAGGTGTGACAACACAAATTCGTCTACTCTCTAATCAAAAAGAAATCAGTATTAATCAGTTGCATCTATGATCTGCCAAGGACTAAGAACTGAAAAAAAAAAAACGTTTAAGCTTCAAAATCATTGGAAAATATGCAAGAAATTAACTTGACAAATAAAATCATACACAAAGAATAAATCCGCCACAGAGCTCTGTGACAATCACATGATTAAATTCGCCATAAGCTTTAAAGCCAGACGCTTTACTGCTCTCAAAAAAGGGAACATATAGACAAAGACAACAGGCTAAACCATCAAATCAGAGCTGGGCTGGGGCTTCTGCCAGTTATCTGCATAGGCAGTCAAAAAAGACTGAACAAAAGAAAAGGGGAAAATGCACTATACACTGCGTTCGCCAGCCAAGGGCTTGTCAGGGCAAATATTTCATTGTTTGCTGGTTTTGGCACGTTAGCCCGTTATAAAAAATGCATCTCTTTATAGGAAGGAGGGATCGTGTATTTACTGCCCGGCTACTATTACCAATGCAATTATTACACGTGAAGCGGGAAACGTATCGGCACCTGTGTGACAGGAGCGTGACAGAAGGTCCTTTTTGAAAATGCAAACCATATATTTTACTTGAAGACAAAATGGCCTTTGTTCAGCCTGCAGCGAGCCTCTTCTGTGGTGTGTTTGGAAATCCTAGCATTCCCGCACCCGTGTGCAAGTCCGAGTGGCCACAAGAAATGCCCTAATAACAAGGACGGAGACTAGTAACCACGAAGTAATAACGACTAATTTAACGTCTGTAGAAAGCCAACTTGACACGCGTCAGCTGATCTGCAGTGTAAAGCAGATTAAAGGGGACTCAAATTCCTACACATGCTTTTCTCGAATGACAACATGAGCCATTCACATGTCACTCGGTGCTTCGCATTGATTATGTGTCAATCGACCCTTACAATATCCCTGTGGCTGGCAGAAGCACACACAACCGCGCTTCAAACGATCTGGGCACTAACTGAATAACCAGCCCACTTAAATCAGTCTCAGCCACAGCGCGTGCCTAATGGAAGACACAAGTTGGAGGATTTCATGTAAATAAGCGGAGAACTTAGACCTGAACTAACCGTTTGCTTTCCAAGCTACCACACATTGACTCGCAGGCTAAAACTAGCCAAACTTACATGTAAACAATACAACATATTCTGCTAATCAGTTGTGCATACACACCATAGACTCCTGCGTCCGAAGAGTCGCAGCGACCGAAAAGAAAGCCGCAAAATAATTTCCGCCTGGCAAGCCTACAACAGTGCCTCGCTGGCTAGCCACCAACCACAGAGATTTTCCCGTTTGCTTTGCATGTAACAGACCAACTACGAGGACAAAGTCAGCGTTTTCCTTACCGTCAGCTCGGCGTTGTCGCTGTCACGATGGTTGACGGCCCGTATAACCCCGGACCTCCACGGCCACCGACCAATGTCGCCGATTTCAGGCGGCTCGTCGCCGCTGACACAGAGGAACCGCTTCCCGACCAGCTCCGGCCGAGCCTCGACTGCCATGGCCCTTCGCTGGTCAAACCCCCCCACCCCCCCCGGAATAAACTTCCCAACAACGACGCCCTTGCAGACCTGTAACTTACGACATTAAAACAGCTCTAAATAATCCAACGGATGGGAGGAAAAGGAAAAAAAGAAAAGTTGGCCTTGCTGAAAGATGAAAAACCGACCCGGGGGATTTAAACGTGTAGCAGTCTCCACCCGTTCGAGCGTCAGTCGCCTTTTCTCTCCACTTGAAAAAACGGTGGAACATTGAACCGCAGCACAGCCGCCATCCATTGGTGTTTCTCCGCTGATCCCTAGACATTCACAAACCGCAGCACGTTGGTGTCCCTCCGCTCCGTCGAATAATTGGTACTATTTTTGCTAATACTACACCGACTACTACCGCCACGAGTCGAGGCTAATATAATGAACGACTAATGTTCAAATTCCTTGTTATACTCCCGCTCTATTAGCGGGACTGCACTTCTATTTCTGTCATCACAAACAGCATTAATATAGGAAGGTAACAAATCTGGAGGAAATTATGTTTATATCATCTATATTTTGTTTAATATATTGTTTATATTAATATATATTATAAATAATGTAATCATTTATCCATTCTACTAAAGGTATACGTTTTTCATCACTATCCCAGTATGAAAGTTGGGTTTTGGTGTTTTTTGGTGTGTGTGTGTGAGAGAGAGAGAGTTTTTTGTTTGTTTGTTTGTTTTTCTTGCGAAATTATTTTAAAGCAATACCGTATCTCTACTCTTTAATAGCTACAAAGAACATACCCAGTGTGCTTGGGTGGTCTCAACAACAACAGTCTGCCTCAAGCTGCTTTATATTGTAAG